CCAACGGGAAACAAAAAGAATCAAGGACAGTTTTTAAAAAAAGTGAAAGATGGTTCAGAGAAAATGAAAAATTGATAGCATGTGGTTGTGTTCTCCCTGCTCACCTGACCCAAAGGTGTGACCGGTGGTTGAACCCAGCGTGGTATTAATCACTGCAGCACTCCAGCCAAAGCTCATTACTCCCCTTTGTTCCCTTTTATTACCTTGTCCTCCTCTATACACTCCCGACACACTTCTGTGGCACACGCACGCACGCGCACACACACACACACACACACACACACACACACACACACATCCTTCTCTCTATTCTACTACACCTCCCACCTTTGTCCCACCTCATCTGTCTCCACCATCATTATCAACTTTTGCCTTCATCCCTACCCCGACTTCTGTCAGTGAGTGCATCTGCTACAAAACAATCGGTAGCTTAAGTTCCCCTCCACTCAAAAATCAGTGTTTCTTCCTGTTGCTACAGCATGCTGTTTGAATGCTGTCTGTGCAGAGTCTGACACTAGAAGGATGTTTTCACATTCATCTGCTGAAAGTGGAAAGTTTCTCTGTGCTCACTGAAAATCTTCATTCATCACTCACATTATTGTTCCAAGCAGACATTGTATATAGGTTATGTATATACATGTCTGGAGGGGATCTTTAACTAAATGATGCCAAAATGTACGGATGTCAAGATACTGCAAGAGTTGAGTTAACCCCAAAAAAAGGACAGAGATAGTGGTGCAGTTTCAAGCTGTCTCCTTTTCTTTAAAGCCATCATCAGGGGCAGGTAGAGGGGTCAGGAAACCCTAGCTCTGCATCACTTAGGCTGACGACGTCACAGGCCTTAACTGTTTAATATAGAACATCCACACATATCAGCACTCAACATTATGTAAATGTTAACATTTTTACCACTATTTGGGCAAGATTTCTATCAACTAGGTCAACTTTGTTCTGGTTGTTTATGAGGAAGTTTCATAATGTCAGACACAGGGTTGTCTTAAGGGTTCACTTCATCTGGAAATTGAGCCTTTTTGCCTCCGTAAAGAGCATTATAACCAGGACATTTCATGTGATACACAACACAACTTTTGAATACTTTTTTGGCTTAACTCTAGTCATATGTTTTGCATAAGAGTGGTTGTCCTGGTATCAAAATACCACTTCACATCTGATATGAACTTACACCTTCCTGCTGCTCTTGATACTGCCTCCAGGGCAGCTACTTCTGACTAGGCAGCAGGATATTATGTGCACATTGGAGGCGTCCTCACAAGTAAAGTGACAACCAGTGTTTGTTCAAAAGCCTTTTTGTTTAGTTTAGAGGACTTGTTGGAACATTTGTGCAAGTGTGCGTACTTAGGCATGCATTTATAGAGCTGTGTGTGTGTGAGGGTTATAGTGTCCTTGGTAATATCAGTGTTGGTTTGGTAATGAGCCTAATCCCAGGAGGACACAGGAGACAGAGAAGTCCAAAAGAGGGACACACGGGATGGTAAAGATGGGGAGAAAGAGGGGATGTAGCTCCAAAGTCAGAGCATGGGGCTGCAGACTCATTAGGAAAAGTCACCTTTAACTTTCTTCCCGATCCCAACTTTCTCTACAGTGTTGTCACCTTAGCGTTGCGTAACTCAAGGTGGCCTGGAGAGACCGTACTTCAGCTGAAAGGTCAAAGACATGAGGCATGTCTTATTGCCCTGTCCTTAAGCAAGACACGCAACCTGTTCCTGCTTCCTCGACGTACATCACCCTGGAATAGAGCATTAGCTTAAAATGCCTGGAATATAAATGGAGAATTCAGTAATTACACCCAGCTCTGCATCCCCGCTCTGCACGATACTTCATCTTCTGCTGAAGTGACTGAATTGATATGTCATTTAAGCCTGCATATATTCCAAATAAACATTGTGTTTTGAAACTAATTTATTGGTGGATAATTTGAATGCAAATAGCAGCAATTAATGTTTGGCGCACTCATCGGAGAGTGGCACTGCTGAGCAAGATAAAAATACATATGATTGTCTCGCTCCAAAGAGGTAAACTAATCAGTAAGTAAAAAAACAGTCTGCTTTAATGACTCATAAGCTGTCAGTAACATCAAAGTGGGAACCTTTATGGGGTTTTTTTGGTCTAATAATTATCCTGGGAGCAGCTATTAAAGCATATTTAATAAGCGCCTTTTAAAACAGGTAGACACTGCTTTTGTAGTAGAGGCTCTTTCATCTTATAGCCTGGGCTCTCTGCTAATAAGTTCCAGAAAGTGAGAAACTGGACATGAAAAAGTTCCAGATGCCCCACTGTCGCCCCTTTTTCTCACTTTTATGGCTTTGAATTTAGTGAGCGCAGACTACACAGAGGCAAGAAGTGGAAGTCCAGGTTCAATAAAGTTTTCCACTCAGTGTGATTGCACAGTCTGCAACATCTCTGTGTCGATTCGAAGAACAGCAAATGAAAGAAGGGAATATTTGGAGGGTTAATCCAAGTTTTCTCACCCTTAAGTGCTGCCACTTTCTCAGTGAGAAGTCTGTTTGGACACACTAACTTCCAGAGAGCAGAGGTCGCAGAAGGAGAGCAGAAACCTGCAGGCTAGTAGACTAGATGAGACTCTACAGTCACCTGCTCCGGTCTGCAGTCCCTCTCTGTGCCAGCTGACCTGAATCCCACTCCAACTGCCCTCTGCCCCGAGCTGTAGGGCACGCTCCATGCTCCTATTCCCCCCTCGCTCCACCACAGTCTTTCACTCTTCATTAGTGATGCTGCGGCTTGGGGCATGTAGCAGTTTTGGAATAAAGTGTTGTTTTTTTTCCCCTTTAGTGAGCGTGTGAGTGAGCGTGTGTGAGTGAATGTGTGAGCGTAAGCTCGCCCAAACTGCTGTGGACAGAGAGAGAGAGAAATCATCAGAACCAGAAATACAAGGGGACAGAAGGTCACACTCACATCAATAAAGGTTTCAGTGTGTGTGTTGTGTTCATGTGGGAGCAACATAAGGGACTGCTAAAACAAATGACCTTTGGACAGTAACAACTGGGATACACCTTATTCACACACACACACACACACACACACACACACACACACACACACACACACTTACTTTTGAAAGTCGGGAAAAGTTCTCCATTTTGCAACTTTTCCAACACAAATGGAAATGTCCAGATGCAGTCCATACAAAAACCTGTTGGAAAACATACACAAGGATTAAAGTCAAAAGTGCAGGTGCATCAGTCTACACAACTGACCATTTCTTGTACTGTGATTGAGCAGTCTGATGGCTTCTGGAACAAAACCAAACTTAACATACCTAACATTTTAACCTTTTAGTGTAAATTCATAGATTTTAAACTCTCAATGTCCCACTGAGTAAACTCCTCAAAGCTGATTTGTCTAAGCACTTGACTTTTAACCAAAGCCGCTTCCTCCTCTTAAGAAACAAAAGCACACAGGGATGACAGCCTGTCTGTTAATGAACCTTCTGTTCGGAAAAAGAAAAAGATTAAGGAAACTCTGGTAGTGATTTGGCAGATAATAACCACAGAGACTGTTGAGACTGAGGAGAGAAAAAAAAAGAGAGATGACGGAGTGAGTCTAGGCGACAGAAAAACAGAAAAGTTGCAGCAGACTAAACTGCTGTCAGGTGATGGATGAGCAGATGGAGGTCGGGGAAATTAGAAAGAGAAAGATCTAGACAAAAAAAAGTACAGAGGGAAGGAGAAAACCATTTACTTGCTGGTACACAGGCAGCAATCCACATAACTCTGTAATTTTGTCAGTAGACTTAACACTGTAAGCACCAACAAAAGAGCCATTATTTAGTTGTGTACTGTAGTTAGACCCTCTACAGCGCCGCACTATAACCAACTGGTACAATTCTGAGTTTCAGCATAAATTGACAACCAAATGAAAGTGCTGAAATTGTCATCTGTCACTTCAGTAGCGTGTTTTTCAGCTGACAGGAACATTTAGAGTAAACGTTTTAAGAGTTACACTAGATGAAATGGGAATTGGCTGCTTTTACATGAGGTGGAAGTGAACACATCATTTTCTTCAACATAACTGCTGTAGATGAGAAGACACTTGACTTGATGGCGTGACTTGCAAAAAATTTAAGTATTCAGCAAGATTTTTTTAATAGTTTTTTTTCTGAAAAACTGTGTTCAGCACTGACCAACTGATGTTTGACGATAGTGATAAAGAAATGCACATGGGAGTATTAAAATATAATGATGGTGCATTATACACAGTACAGCCCCATAACCACCATGTTGAACCGCCATGTTTCTACAGTAGCACCAGCTTTCCGCTAACTACCTAGCTGAAGCTAACTTTCAACATGGCTTGCTAACACTACTTGGAAGCTGACAGACACAGGGCTCTTCTCATTTCTCTATTTTGTGGCAGCCTGTCTCCTCTCTCCTCCGTCCTCTTGCCCGTGACCCTGAAATCGATCTCAGCGCGCCATCTTGAAGGATGTCTCAATTCCTAAAATACATCTGGAGGAGAGAGGAGGCTTGCCTGAGGAGCTATGACATGCACATTGACCGTGACATGTAAAAGAGGCGTGACAATGGACAGATGATGAAGATGCGCCACGCATCGTATTCAATTCATGTTGGTTTAAAATGATGGCTCCGTAGAAAGGATGTCACATTTTGTTAAATACCTGTTGCCTCTACTCCTCTCTCCTCACGCCTCCTCTGCTCGCATACCAGTTAGGAGGGACTGAGACACGAGGAGAGGAGGCGAGGAAAGGAATTGAGGGTGTTCAAACTGAGAAACAAGAAGAGGGAACAGCTTCTGCCTTTTATTATCTAACATTATTCTCATCTTCAAATCCATGCCTGTTGTCTTCATCAATGACCACAATGGGAATTATCTATTGTTTTTATACCTGGGGTATATTTATCTCTGTGAGCCCTCTGGATTATTCAGAGGAATCCTGTTTTAATTTTAAGAAACATTGGATTCTAATCAAGACTTTGCCATTTTTCTCTGTCTTCTTCCAGATTTTGGTGAACTCCATCTCCCAGCCTGCCTTGCTGTATGAGAATGTGGTGGTGAGCAAAGGGAGCCCAATCCTAAGAGATCTGCTCTTCAGTCCGGAACATCAGTACTTATACGCCCTCACCGATAAACAGGTATGAGAAGCACACATAATAAGATGATCTACTGTGGCCCATAATGCAGCCTACAGTTGCCCTTGACAACCGTAAGGAAATGATAACTAAATATCATTTATCTTGTCTAGCGATACGTGACAGCCTATGGCCTACAAATACACGCACACCTAGCTCAGTGTGTGTGTTTGCAACAATATGCACACACTGCGTCCATATGCTGTGTTCATATGCTCATACGAGTGTTCATAACAACACATACAGCCTTCCTCACTACTCACAATATACAGAGTGAAGGTTATGAAGACAGTGCAATAGCACCGTTAAGACTGCATCAGGAAAGATGTCTTACAAACACACTGGGGGTGGGAGTGAGCAATCAAGCTAATTACACTCATACAGTACCACATAAAAACTGCACAAAGACAATTGCAATTCAAGCATTATTACACACACATGCTAATTAAAATAATGAATATTAAAATGTGTCATATATATATAGGCTGAAGCCTCAAACCACCATTCCACCAGGGAGGCAGTATACATGCAACCTTTGCATATTAATTGGAGTGAGAAAGATTTATTTTTAAAGTGTGACAGCCAATATTTTGCAAAGACGTGAAGATGAATTTCGCTGTGACACTTTCACGTGTGAACAGGTCTCAAGTATATATTTTGTAGAGTAAAATTATGCAGCTGAAAGATGGATTCATTTGTTGGCATTTGTTACATTTTCAAGCCAGGTCTTAAATCTTAAAACCTGTAATTCTTTACACATTTTACAGAATTATACCAGAAAGTTTAGGACATTCTTCATAAAATAATAGATGGTTTTCAGGTAAACAAAAAAAAAAACTAAAACAACAAAGGAATAGTCACAAAAGCAGTTTTTGGACAATAGCAAGTGATGCTCAGTATAAATATTTTACATTTTAAGATGCATTGTCTTATTGACTTGTCTGTTCCCATAGTGATATTACTCCCATAGAGTAATATGTACGATATAATCTTGCCGTCCTGGCATGTTGGATGTACGTATCTTCACCCATGAGAGTCTGATACTGCAGAGTTCGCCTCTTCTTCTTCGTTTACCTGCACGACTCTCTTATCTCATAACAGTTAATGACTGTGATGTGCTAACCTTCAACAAGACTTCACTGATACATAGACAGTAGCTGCCATGTGAGTGCTGTGTAATTTACCAGCAATTATACATAATTGACTTCCATGTGTCTGAATAAGCGCAGGGAGGAAGTGGAGTGTAATTGATACCAGCGGACGGCGTCGGTGTTGATGTGACAGGGGAAATAAGGCCCTTCGATTATGGATAGCGATCCAGGAAGCTGAAATGTACTATATAGGGAGATGCATAAATACATATCCAAGCAGAGGGAGTCCACCCACACAAACACATACATATTACACAGAATCGTGTACGTATGCAATGAAAGAAAAGGTTGATTCAGACTGGGATTATATTCTCAAATGTATTAACATTTACAAAGGGGTTCAACTGCAACATTAACAAGATTAGAAGCAGTAGAAAATGTGTTCTTAGATTCAAAACCCTGCAGACAGTAGAATAAAGCTAGTACAGAAGTATTAGTTATAATAAGCAATATAACAAAAACTAGTGGCAAGAAGGTCAAAACTCTTAACAAAGATAAGAGAACACAAGAGCTTTGGGAAACCTCAGGAATATATGTTAACAGAAAAAGTGTGAGCTGTCAACAGAGACTATACAACTTAAACAATGATATCAGTTAGAATGATAATCCCAACATTGGGCCTGTGTTCTGCGAGTATCTCTGTTTTAGGGAGCAGCTGCTCAACAGGATGTGTTAAGGTTCATGCCGGGAGTGTTATCAGATTTTCCCTTTTAACTCCTGTCATCTGCATTAAAGATGACTGCCATTGCCACCAGAAAGTCTTTCAATTATTAAAGCCAGTGTTTTATTTTTGATGAGCACTGATATGTCCACTACAAGTCTGTGCATGTTAGTGCAGTGACTGTAGGGAGGTCTAGTGACAGGAGAGAAGCCTCATAGAAACCACAATGCTTTCTCTTCGAGATGATCCATGGTGATATTTTATAAATATAGCCAGTAAAGGAATGTTACTGTGTGTGTCTGGCACGGTTTTTGCTTGGAGAGGAATTGTCTTCTAAAACCTGGAGAGTGGAGTACAGTTAATATACTTATTTACTTTTTGCTGAGCATTTGATAAAAAGATTGGTACCTCTGCCATGTTTGTCTGTTAAATCTAAGGCTACAGCCAGCATCATTAGCATAGCTTAGCATAATGAGTGGAAGTAGGGGGAAACAGGTAGCTTAAAAAATACACATTTACATTTTTATTAATTAGCACTTTTAATTTGTTTAATCATCACAGAAAGAGAATTGGTAAAACTAGCTGTATGTTTGTGGGCTGTAAAGATGTCTTGGCCGTGCAGAATTACTTACAGAATTTCTGCTGGTTGCCTGGCAACCTCATGGTGACAACAACTATTCCACCCCCCCCGTCTTTATGCTAAGCTAAGCTAATTGCTTGTTCCTACCTAACAGATATGTGAGCAGTATCCATTTTCTCATTTTGTAAGAAAGCGAATAAGCATATTTCTTAAAATGTGAATTAATTCACCATTAACTGTTAAAGATATTGGGGATTTATGGAAGTTTGTCTTTTCATGTGATACGACTGTTGTAGGCTACTAGCAGTTTCTGCATCAGATCTGTGCTGTGGTTTAAAATGTGTCTTTTCAGTCTGTGTAATTTTGTTTCTGTGAAAGTCAGAATCACACTAATTGACAGAGAGGATGAGATGGAATGACCATCTCTTTGTACAGCAGTAATGGTCTTTCACTTTCAGAGTTTCAACCTTGACCAAATTCACAGTCCAGTCAGAGAATGAAACAGAAAAGGAGAGAGAGGTAGTGAAAGCTGAGGAGGTGGGAAAATATAATTGGTTTGCAGGATATGGTCCGTTCCTTTCTGCGACTGTTCCTGCCTCATCTGTTCAATATTCTTAGGGGTCCTCACTTCTGTCTCTCTCAGATGGAGTGAGTTTGTGGAGTAACTGTTCTCCCAGTAGCGGCTTCAGACAGCATAGAATAGAAAGAGGATCTTCCCTGTGCTGCAGAATGTGAACTTGTGTACCAGACGGTAGAGGACCAGAGTGTGTGCAGAGCCTCCGTGGCCTACTGATGAGCAGTGTCTTCCTAGCCACAAGCTGTCTGGACTAGAGATAATGCATCGTGGTTTAAGGTCGCTGGCCAGGCCCAGGGGTGTATAAACTTCTGCTGTTTTCAAGCCAAAAAAAGTATCCCAAAGGAAAAACTATAGCTGTTTTCTCTGGACTTGTTTAATTGATTTCAGGGATGCAGTCTATTAAGGAAGAAATAACCAGAAAAAGCACAGAGTTGAACCACATTTGACCAGCTGTCTTGAGACAGCTAACGTTTAAAAATGAAGCCACTTTTGCCTCCAAAATGACTGCCATGGGTTGTGCCATGCCCACAAGGGTCCAACTGGGAGCCCTCTCCCTTTTGCTCAGGATGAGAATGTAATGATATTTATTTTTTACTAGGGACAATGCACATTAATCAACACTTTAATGTACATCGGCTGGAGGTAGCTCATAAGCTAACTGTCTTCTGTCTGCTGTCAGAGAATGTTCAATATTATAGCTATAATTTCATCCTCTGTGTTTTATTAAGGACATTTGGAACTAACATCAGTACAGTAAACTTATTGCTAACATGAGTCAGGTGTTAATAAAGAGTGGCTTGTACAGCTGATAATGTGTTTGTCAAGTTATGTGTTATTATCTTCTTCTTATCAAGAGCAGAAAGGAGTTCAAAATACAGAAAAAGTAAAGTAAGTTTTTTTTTTTTTTTAGGGGAAGTAAAACAAACTGCAGACACATTGATACATTATCACTATATAGAGTTGTTTTTGCTAACATGTTAGCAAATAGTTGCCTAGTTACACATGTAGCCGACACAGGGGGACATTTGTATTCATCTGGGGTATTTGTTTGTGGCAACATGATGAATGTAAGTTTCATATTCATTCTCATTACAACTGTGTTTGGTCCACAAGGGAGGCTTCCTGAGGGGAATATCCGGCTCTTTAGCTGCCAGACGCTGGTTAGCAAGTTGCTAACGCTGTCAGACTGCTGTTTAGTGCTGGGTAGGTACGCAGCGCAGGGTTAGCAGGACTGCTTGTTTGAACCATGGACGTATAAAGGGAACTAGATACAGCGTCGGAGGGTATTCCATTCATTCTTATGAAAGCTGCTCAGAGGCCCATGAAGCCCAAAAACCCACTTCCCACTATAATGAATGTACCTGGATGAACTTCTGCTTTAACGATAAGCTAATGCAGCTCGTCTGGACTTTCTCAAGGTCATTGGACTGAACTGATCCAAATCAAGTACAATGTGAGTGTTTGTGACGCTCAGAAAAATGTGACCACAGTTTTACAGTTGCTTCTTTCACAATGGAAACTTATGTGATAAATCATTTTTGGGCCAGTGTGCATCACGTGATGGATGCCATTGCTGTAATTACATGGTTTGGCCACTATGTGAAATTGGCTCCAAAGCCTGCTTCTCTTCCTGTGGGCTTGGTTTGAACCGGAAAACCAAAACAATGTCTGCAGAAGGAAGTAATAGATAGACCTCCGGTCCTCAGTGAGGTCTGCATTGGGACTCTTCTCACCACTTTGCTTGAAAGCCTGTTATATACATACTGTCTTTGATGATCACTTTCAGAAGTGAGGCAATACCTTCGCCCTGTTTGTCCTCTTCTTCTTGTCTCCTCCTCCTCTTCATCCTTCCATTCCTCTCTCCTTGTTGAATAATAGAAATGCCAAGTGATGAGACCTCAAACATCAAAAAGCCCATTTCCTAGCTTGACAGAGCAATTTACCTTTTCCCATATTCACTCACACACATAATTAAAAGTGGTGGATTGGACTGCAGTGTATAGACTGCGTATCTGTATAGCAGCACTGACTCGC